TTGGCTCAGCAGCCAACGTCTCCGTAGCTGCAGGGAATAGAACTCTCTCTTCCAGCTCCTGCAAGACACATCAGGCTGCAAAGCAGGGCTGCTGAGCAGGGCGGCCAGCATGGCTCTGGGAAAGGAGGGAGCGGTTTGCTTTGGAAATTAGCACTGTGGTTTGAGCCCTCTCCCTCCCTACATTATTTTTCCTCCAGCCAAAGACGATTTTAATTGTTTCCAGCAGAGAATGAGACAGTAACAATGAAAAGTATTGTCTCCTCAGGGCACAGCGCTGCAGGCCTCTAATCCCAGCAGCTGGTAGGGCAGGCAGGGCTCTGTGAGTTCAAGGCCTGCCTGGTCTACATAGGGAGTGCCAGGACAGCCAAGGCTAGAATAAAAAAAAAAAAAAGTCCGTTTTAGGCTAGCAAGAGAAGGTTACTTTCTAGGTAGGAAAAAGGAGCTACAGTCATGACTCTTGTCTGGGACGGACCTCCAAAGTCCAACCCTGAGTGTCACCACACTGCTGGGTAGGAGGCATGGTGACGGTAGAACGAGGAAGGGAAAATCTGAGCTCCTAGGACATATGTGCTGTGGCAGTGGGCTTGGGCCTGAGTGTGAAAGCTGCACACTCCTTGAAAGCTATCTATCTATCTAGATAGATGATAGATAGATAGATAGATAGATAGATAGATAGATAGATAGATAGAGGCCAGGCATGGTGGCGCACACCTTTAATCATAGCACTCTGGAGGCAGAGGCAGGTGGACCTTTTATACTTCAAGGAAGGCCAGTATGATCTACAAAGAGAGTTCTGGGGTAACCAGAGCTACAGAGAAACCCTGTCTCAAACAAAACCAATGTGTGTGTGTGTGTGTGTGTGTATTTACTGTTTTGCCTTATGTATAACTGTGTACCACATGTGTGCCTGGTGTCCACAGGGGCTCAGAAAAGGACATGGGATCCCTTGGAATTGGAGTTACAGAGAGTTGTGAGTGGCCATGTGGGTGCTGGGAATCGAACCCAGGTCCTCTGGAAGAGCATTCAGCTCTACCCCCAGAAGTTCAAGGATTCTTACAGGTAAATTCAATCTGTACCCCGTGAATGGACTGAGCAGACCCTGAAGTGGAAGGTGACGTGGCTAGTTTCAATAAAGGTAAACCTGAGTGGGCCACCAGCCTCCTGAAGCCAGCATGTGGTCGCCTTTCAATACATTTAATGTCCACAAGGGGGCGCTGTGTCAATAATCCAGTTATTGCGGAAATCCTGGTAATTCTTAAATTAACACATTTAAGACAATTACAGCTAAATTCCAATGCAATTTGACAGGAACTGAACAGATTAACCTCTAAATTAATTTGGAAGGATGACCAAGAATTATCATTATATGGAGAACGACCAAGTTCTTACAGTGCTGACAAGATGCCTCAGCAGGGAAGGTGACTTGAAAATCTGATGAACCTGAGTTTGACACACGTTGGAACCAGTTCCATCACATTGTCCTCTCTTCCCCCCACACGCACTGTGACATATGCACTGCCCAATAAATGAATAAGTCTAATTTAAAAAATTAAGAAAAAGAATTCTGATATTATTCGCAGGGAAAACCAAGTTACAAACATCATGGACCTACATATACAGCTATGTAAAGTCTTCGCCCAGAGCTATCACAAACATCTCCATGGCCAGCCCTTGCTCCGCCTCGTTCCAGCAAGGAAGGATACATGGTACAACAATCCGGGATGGAGTCACTGGAAATACTCAGAAGCAGGTGCTGTTTGTGTCGAGCTAGGAGAATGTGGTGTCAGTGGTAGCCAGCAGACCGGCTAGCTGGCCATATTCCCTTAACAGCAGACACTGGGATGAACTCCACATGAAAGAAATACACACAGCAGACTCAACAACAGAACACAGCCGTCTTTCTGAGCCAAGTGCTTATTTATTTTTATACACAGGTTTACATAAGGATATTATCATGCACATACTTAGTGAACTTGAAGCATGCTCCTTCCCCTTGCTCCTCCGCGCATTTCTGAGGGATGGAGAGACCTACTGAGTGCACAACTCATAGAACTAGGCTGCTTCGTTAACCGTGTTATGACTCACTCCGGCCCACGATACAGTTTGAAATAATTATGTCATGAAAAAGCAGCAAGGTAATTAAGTTTTGGAGAATATTTGTTATGTTTAATTCAGTGGCTGTAAAAGAAAAGTTGCTTGTTGTGAGTTATAAAAGTGTATGAAACACACGCGTGTGCAGTCTGTTGACACACATGCACTCTGATTTCTAGTTTTGTGGGGTTGGTTTTGCTTTTTGAGATGAGGTCTCATGTAGCCCCGAATGGCATCAGACTTGCTGTGTAGCTGAGGATGACCTTGAACATCTGTGCTGCCGGCCTCTCCCTCCCCCGTGCAAGTGTGTAGCACCACACCTGGTTTGTGTAGTGCTGGGGACTGGACCCAGAAAAATCATGCAGGATAGGCAAGCACTCTACCAGCTGAGTCATAGCCCTAGGTTCTGATTACTTTTAAAATGACAAACTCTTAGTGTCCTGGTTACTCAGCTGTTGTACTGGGAATTAGACACTCTTTAGGCAATCAGAAGCTCACAGGAGCCAGGCTGGGCAAGGAAAGGGTCTTTGAGCTGGAGTGAGACTCCAGACAATACCAGTCCATGTGATGGGCTTTGCTTGGAGATGTGAGCTCCACACTACAGGGTCTACCTGCCTATACCTGATGGGGTACAAGGACTCTGGGAATGGTGGACGGACCTCACCTGCCCACGTGTATTCCTCCTGCCTCAAATGGCAGCTGGTAAAAGACACACCTGCCGCAGAAGGGGGTGTGCAGGTGTCTTACCCTAACCACAAGGACTCCAACAGGAAGCATCCTACTTACTGTCTACCTGACACCTGACACCTGCCAGGACTCTTTACACAGCAGAGAGTTGGTGCCTGGACAGGGCACGGACAAAGCTAGAATAACCTAAGGCCAACAAAACTTGATCCAGGAAAATTGTTAAGTTGGGGGGGGGGTAGAAATTCATGCACCAGGCCATGTACTTTTGTAAAATCAGCAAAACTCATTTCCTTTGTTATTGTTTTTCTTCAATAAGGTCCCCACATAGGATTCAGGAGACTAAACACCCAAACCAAGCCCCACCGAGAGATTCTCTTTCTCACCCAGGACCACCTTCTTCCCTCTGATGAACAGAGATGATTGTGGGTTGGAGTCCTCTTTGGCTCACCCACCCTCAGACCCTGGTCCTGGGGTGTGGTTTAGCAGAGGAGGCGGTGAGCCTTTTCAGGGTCCCAAACCATGCGTGCACACTCTACTGACCGCGTGCGCATTCATGAGAAAGCCAGCTCCAGGAGAGAAAGGGCTGCACGGAAGGAACCAGCAGATGGGCCCACTGCACTTTCTGACTTGGGGAGACAACCTTGTACTTCCCCGCAGTGGAGGCCCCTAACTGAGCTGGGGTACTGGATTATTTCCTGGGTGCAGACACTTGGGAGGCCAGTACTTTAGAGTCACCCAAGGCTTGAGTCAGCCTCTACTACCGAGATCCAGGGAGGAGCCCGTGATGGGCTCAGGCAGAAGAGGGAGATCTGGTCTAGAACAGGGAAGGGCAAACTAGAGTCCTGTCCTATTTAGGGAGTCAGGTAGCAAGTTTCAGGACCCCCCTCACCCGCTGCCCCTCCTCCCTCCCTGAGGCTCCTGTACCAGTGCTCAGATCTGCAGGCTGTAGTCTTGTAAGCAGGGGCTCTGCTCCCTTCCTCCTCCCCATGGCTCTCCACCTGGGCCAGCTGTAGGTCTGAGCTGGCAGTACCCATGTCCACGAATGTGACTGCTGCTTCTGAAATGCGAGTGAGATGCCTCTGCACCTCCACTTCTAGGTCCCTTGGCCAGAGGTTCCCTCGAGCATTTGCTTAGGGAGAGGATGTTGGAACACCTACCTCACTCCTCAGGGAATGGTGGAGGAGGGAGGTCTTCAAAAGAGGGCAGGCTAGGCCTACCAATCATGTAAAGGCAGGCACACCTCTCCAGGAGGCGAGCAGGACCGGATGCTCACACAACTGTCTGCAACCAGTGAGGCACACCCTTTTGAGATGATCCCAGCTCAACTTTCAAAAGGCCCCAGAGACATCATGTCTAGCGCTGGACAGTTTGGCCCTAGCTCTCAAGAAAGTCACATCAAACCAAAACCAGAATTAAAGGACGGCAGACAGCCCAGAGCAGGGAGTGGCCTCGCCTTCTAGACCCCTATGCAGGTGCCTGGTGGGACCTACACGCCCACTCCACCCCATGCCACCGATCCAAAGCACTCAGCACAGAACTAGGAATACAAATGCCCAGACAGTGGTGTTACCTATGTCAGTACCCAAAGGAGGTGCCCAGAGGTACACAAAGGCTGCCCCCCCCAATTCCTCCCTACTTCTGGGGCAGCGGAAGCGGGGCGCAGAATGAGGGGCCAAGGAACGGTGAAGGCCGCGTCGATGGAGAGGAGAAGTCACGGACGCGCTTACCGGGGCCCCAGGTCATGGCTGAGTCTGTTTGTGAGGTGTGCGACGCTCAGGTCGGACACCTGGACGGGACCAGACCTGGGACTCTCTGCGGGAGGTGGGCAGAGAACGCCCAGAGGATGCTCAAATGGAGACAGAAAAGCGAGCTCAGTCTTGGGGGCTGGATCAGGAGCCGCGGAGGGGAGGGGCTGGCGCGGGGCTGGAAGTGGGCTCTCCCTATTGGGACGGTCTGGGCGGGGCCGAAGGCGGAACGGGCGTGGCCTGGTCTGGGGGTGGGGCCGAAAAGGGGCGGGAGCTGGGGCGGGGAGGGGGTTGGGGTCCGGGCGGGGGTCGTGCGGCGGGCGGGTCTGACGTCTGGGGCATCCCGCTCCGAGTTCGCTCTCCAGCACTCCTGGCAAGTGTCTGCAGAGCGCAAAGTTCCCGGTGCTCGGGGCAGCGGCACCATCCGCACCTGCGGCGACCACGCGCCCGGCACCTGGTGCGGCTCGGTTGCGGCATCCCGCTGTCCTCCAGGACATGGCGCGCGTGAAGTCCGGGTCTCGCGGCCGCAAAGGCCGCCTGTGAGTCGGCGAGCAGAGGACCGAGTGGGAGCGCGATCGCGCGCACGATGCTTGTCCGGGCCGAGGCGAGAGCGGCTTGGCGCGCGGTGGCTCCGGCTCTGCTGCTGCTCCCCGCCGTGCTTGCAGCCGTTCCGCCGCGCCCCCTGCGCCCGCTGCAGCCGAGCATGTGAGTAGCGCGAGTCTCGAGGCTCGCGGTAGCGACGCTGACCCGAACAGAGCTCGGGGCTTTGTCCCTGGGGCCCCAGAACAATGGGTTCTTTGCCTTAACCAAGGAGGGGACGGTCTAGACTTGGGGTCCAGGGTTGGATATGGGGCCCTCGAGGCTGCCACAGGACCCCTAGTCTCCCGGCTCCCGCCTTTGCCGTGAGGGTCCTGCAGACTTAGGCGGATGCTGAAGTTTGGAGAGGTGAGGAATCCAAGCCCCTGCGGCGCAGAGTCCAGCTGGGGAACCGGCTTGGAGGCGGCCGAGAGGAAGCCGCCTGGTCCCACTTCCTCCCCAAGCTGGTCTCCTGGGGTCTGGGGGCCTGCGCAGGGGCGGGGGGGTGCCCAGAGGGGGCTGCCAGAACTGGTTTGTGTGTTAAACACGTGCGCTCTGGGGCCTCGGGAGAAGGAATTTAGTTCTAGAATGAGCAGGAAGAGAGGGTCAGGGAGCCAGCGGCGACGGATTTAATTTTGAAAGATGATTCCCCAACAGGCTGGTTAGCGGTCTCCCTTAAACTGCAAAGCGATCCCTCTGTTGGCCTCAAAGGAAAACCGGTGCGAACTGAGCCCAAGTGGATGAGGTACAGGGATGAGAGGCATATGGCCCCCACCTGGCCCTTGCAGGGTGCAGGATGGGGCCTTGTAAACTTGGCAAAGCTGCTGGGGCTGCGTGTGGAGTGGAAAGACCCTTCAGGCCTGAGTTGGAACTTCCTCTCTGCCAATTAGAGCGCCCATTCAGCTACAGAAGGGACTTGGCTGCTCCTGTCCAGGGTTGGCCCTGGCGGATCCACCTCGTACTTGGCCTTGAGGACAGAGGTGTGGCTGGCTCCCCAGGGGAATGGGAGAACAAGTTTCTCACTGGGGCAGGTGCCCTCAGGACCCCCACCTTAGGTCTTGCCTTGTGGCCTTTACAAAGGAGAGCTGGTCTGAGTTGGGGACATCTCACCCGAGAATGGGAGCAGCATGGGTCCTTGACTTCTCCTGTTCATGTCTCTTAGCTGTGAGTTTGCCCAGAAGGAGCTTCAACCCCAGGATGATCATATCACAATTAGCTTGTTGGGCTAGGGTTGCCAGCCTGCCTGACCCTTTTCATGATTGAGTCGGGCAGCAGACACAGGTTTCCTGAAGTTCTGGGAGGATGGATGCAATCTGGCACATGTGGAAACAGTTGGTCACCCTTTATGGGCTCTCCACCCAGCTCTGTCCACTCCTGCCGGTCTCCCTGGGAGTGGAGCCAAGGCCTTGCTGCCGGTGTCCTGCTCACCTGGGCCCAGGAAGTCTTTAGCTGTTGAGAAAGTCATTGGAGCTAGTTGTGAATGGGTAGCTGAAGAGCCCAGGGAGTCTGCCCCTTCCTGCTTGATGCGTTTTCCAGAGTCTGCCTTCCCTTCTTCCTGCAGTGGGGGCTGCATCTCTGAGGCATGTGCCCCCACTTCCTGACCCTTATGTCCCCATGGGCCTCTGTTCTTAGATTGTCCAATTTGGGTAGATCTGAGTTCCAGGTTGGCCAAAAATCCTGGCTGTCTTCCTCAGAACTGCATCCCTTGAGCGTCGGCACATGGGTCCTAGCTGGCTGGGCCAGTGAGGGAGAGTTTCGATTGGTCAGACCAGCAGAGATAGCCTTCTGGACTTTGGAGAAGGAGTGCTGGATTTGCTGAGCAGACAGCAGGTGGAAGGAAGCCCGTGAGAACCCACTTCCAGGGGTGACTTTACAGGTCTTAACTCCCCGCCACTCAGAGCAGCAGGATAGAGGGGCTGGGAAGGCAGCCAGGGCCCTAGAAAACACTTCTTCCTGGCTGACCCTCTCCGCCCTGCTTGTCTTTCCCCCCTGAGGCGTTCTGATGAGCTGGCAGGGCCTGGTACGGCTGCCACACCTCTTTGGCCAGTGTTCATGAACTGATAGCTGCTGAGTTTTTATGGTACTTTGTCCCCCTGCCCATAGCCACCTACACCTGGTATGCAAGCCATGGGCCTCGGTGGGTTCCAGGGTAGGGCAGCTCCGACTCCCATCCCAGGTGCTCTCGTGAATCTGCAGAAAATGTGGGTGATTCTCTGGCTGTTGTTGCCTGGGGGTGCTCAGATTCAGTGGGTAGAGCCAGGCTACCTGTTCGTGTTTTGCCTTGAGTGACTTTTCAGCTTCGTGGAAGCCTGGCTTGGCTGTTTCATCTGGAGATGGGAATGACTGCCGAGCATTGCAAGACTGGCGTGGATGACTGCATAAGGTCTTCCTGCAGCCCCAGTGGGGATGGAGAGAGAGGCTGCCTGGGTGCTGAAGCTCTGAGTCCCAGCTGAGACCATACCGCAGTGTTCATACACAGCTTCAATGCACAGGGCTTCTCCCAGGCAGAAGCCCCTTGGGCAGCTATGCTAAGAAACCCGCCAGGGCTTTGGAATCAGCTAATGACTGACGATGACCCCTCCTACCCCAAGCAGGTCCCTCAGAGCTCAAGTTCCATCTTGCAAGCTCTTTGGGCCTCCTGGCCCTGAGGGCTTAAACAGACACGTTCTCCGTGGATCTGTTGAGTAGCCCCTAATGCCCCTCTTCAGGGTGTGGGAAAGCCGACCTGGTGAATGGCCAGATGTCCCAGAAGATAGGAGGTGCCGTGCCTGTGGTTGGGGGGCAGAGCAGGGGAAGGGATGCATGTCTGCTGAACCTCCTGTGACCAGCTTGTGCCTGGTGGGAGGCCTCTGAGGAACGTCATCTGCCTTCTCAGTGTTGCTAGGCCCCAGACAGCCCCTGGGCTCCTATCCCTAAAGCCTCACACTTGCTGGTGTGCCAGCTGTACCCAGGCCAGGGAAAGTGTGCTCAGAGGTGAGCCATGAGGCCAGATGAGGGAGGCAGAGACAAATCATCCTCCTGAAGCAGGGTCAGGCTGGTTATAGAGTCGGTGTGCCTCCCACTTCCACCCCTTGGTAAAAGGTGCCATTGCCCTGAGCACCCCTGGCCTCTAACTCCTTCAAAGACTCCCCGGAGCAACATTCCATGCTTCAACAGATGGCTCTGCAGCTGGGCTGAAGTCCCCTCCCTCTGCTGGCCCTGGGTCTACCTTGTGGTTTGGGCTTTGCCTTTCCCACCTTGGTGAGAAGCTGCAGGCAAATACAAGAAACATAAAGATACCTTCAGCTCAGAGACTTTTGAACGTTTACTGGGTTCTTCTGGGGCCTGAGCTGAGGCTGTCTTTTTGTCTCTTCCTTCCCTTCCTCTAGTATCTAGTATCCCCCATCCTCCACCATGTACCTTTGCCTGCACTTCCTAGGCGCAGCGCTGAGCCCAGCTTGTGCCTCCCCGTGTCCCTGTTAATGTCAGTTAACCACCTTCTTTGGTTCTTGTAAGATCTTCGAAGCCCCTGGACTGGTCTCTTGTCCATGTGGCTTCCTGCAGACTATCCTCACATGGTGGGGGACGGTGGCATTCTCCACCTGTCACGGATGTCCTAATGCCCGCTCTGCTGCTCTCTTGGGCCTTAGAGAGGCACAGAGTGCAGGGGCAGGGGTCAGAGGGTGAGCAGAGTGAGCATGCAGTCAGGGCATGCGACTGTGTGAGCACACTGGAGCAGCTGCCACCTGACAGGAAGGGTTCTAAGTGGCCAGGGAAACAGACACCCAGTGTCCCTCTCCTAGGCCGCACCTTCTGTTGGTCCTCCAACCAGCTGCACTTACCACTAGCCAGAGGGCAGGCGTGCGTGTGTGTGGGTGTGTGTGGGGGGGGCGAATGATCAGGGATTCCATAGAGGGCACTATCCTGTGGGCACACCGCAAAGTGGACGCCACAAGGATCAAAAGGCCAGGACCCAGGCCACGGAATGCTGAGGGCTTTCCCTGTGTGGAAACTGCTGCCCTTGTTCAAACCCTTGCCCTGGTCTCTCCCTGTGTTCCAGCTTGGGATCCTTGGCCCACAACAGGCTCTCAAAAGTCTGGGCTCCCCCATTCCTTAGCCATCTGAGCAGCACAGAATCTCAGCAGGACTCAGGAAAAGGAAGGGTTTTTGGTCCAGGTACCATGTTTGGTTGGCAGTTGACTTTAAGATGATTAGGGGGAAATCATTGTCACCTCCCGTCAGGTGGTGCAATTGGCCAGCAATTAAGGCTGATGCCTTGAAGGTGCCTGGTGTCAGCATGGGGGAGGAGAAAGGTGGTGGTGGTGGTGGCTGTGATCGTTGCTGTCATTCTTGTCGTCATGGTCACTGTGGTCGTCTGTCTCCCTGGGGATTGTCTCTAGGAGGTGGCAAAACCTTTCCCATCTGACCCCTGGACTCCCCAGCTGCTCCGTCCTGTCTGGGATTCTCCCTGGCCACAGAGAATGAGTTCACAGTTATAGCTCACACGTGGGGTCCACAGCATACTCCAGAGCCCACTGCTTTGGCCTGGCACCTGAGAGTCCTTGCCCTGCAGTCACCCCAGACTTGAGATGCCTGGCTCCTGCCCTAGATGGGACATTTGGGAGACTGGGGAAGGTATCATGGGACTGGGAGGTCTCAGGACATGTGACAGCCCTGTTCCTAGGTTTGCTGATGGCTGTGGTGCTGACTCTGCCTTGCCTGGGTTGTGACTGGTGGAGAGCTACGGTTTAGAAGGTCTGGGGTCATGCCGGGCAGGTGCAGACCCTGCTCCATCCAGGCTGCGAGCCCCTGATGCCATGGCTAGGCAGGTGTAGACACTGCTCTAGGCTGGAAACCCCTGATGCCATGACTGGGAGCCCCTGATGCCATGGCTGGGAGCCCCTGATGCTATGGCTGGGAGACCCTGTTGCAGGCTGGGAGCCCCTGATGCCATGGCCGGGCAGGTGCAGACCCTGCTCCAGGCTGGGAGCCCCTGATGTTTGTTTTCTACGGCCATCTTGACTGCAGGTGGTCCGTACACTGCCCTGAGGGGGTGGCTTCCCATGCAGCAGAGCCAGGGAGAAAACAAAAATAAAGGCTTTTTGGTCAGAACATCCGTCTGGGGGTGGCTGGTCTAGGGCCAGAGCTGCTGGTTGGCGTGGTCCGGGTCTCTTAAGTGCTGGACTTTGGACAGCACCCAGCAGTCACTGAGAATGTGGAAGTCACTTGGGGAGGGGTGCCTCACTGGGCATGGGGTGGAGGCAGAGGTCAGGGCAAAGCTAAGGAAGCATCTATATCCCCTAGCAGGGTCCTCCGCTAGGGTGGGAGGAATACCCCGAGGAGAGGGAGGGCTCTGTGCAGTGGATTTCAGGCTCTCAGCTAGTTAGGAAATGACTGTGGTCCGTGTGAGTGTCCTGGTAACCCTTGGTGCTCGGGACTGAGCTCAGAGCCTGGCCATGCAGTGAGATACTCCCCTGTTTGCCAGGCTTGGTCCAATGTAGTGGGTCTTGTCTTCTGACCCACGACTTGCCTTTGCATCCCTTGGTCCCTCGAGGGGGGGGGTACAGGCTTTGAGTCCATTGTTTGGTGAGTGTCTCCAGATTGTCCCTCTAGTTGATTTTCTCTCAGAGGGCTGGAGCCGTTTCTCCCTTTGGTGGTCCTGCAGGGCTGTCTTAGGTCACCCACCTTTGGTACTCTGTGCCCCCCTAGGCTGGCTTCTGGGACAAGTGGAAGGCAGAGACATAAGAAGAATCACTGCCCTGGATATGGCTGGATAGTGGCCAGATTTTTTGGTTTTCTTTCCTAATTTCTCCTTGAGTGCATCCCTACTCCTGGGTCTTGTCCACATACCCCTGTGTATTCTGAGAGTACAGGGGAGACACTGAGGTAGCAGGGGTGAAGGTGGGTGTGGAAAGAGCATTATTCTGGGGACCTGGACTTGGGGACCAGCTGAGCCCCGACCAGGACTGTTCCAAAGGATGGATGGTCCTGCCTACCTTGAAGATTCTTAGGGACTAGGGCAGTGACTCGTACAACACAGGATCCTGCAGAAGATGCTGTGGCCATCAGTCCCTCAGTCCCCTTGTCCTGGGGACTTGTCCAGAGTAGATGCCAGATGGGCATTGTGCTGTGGCCTGGTCATAGCCGAATGCTTAGTATAGCTCTGGAGGCATGACTGGTGCCAGCCAGCTGTTGGTAGTGGAGAAGTTGAATGTCACTGTCCTTCTTTCCAGGCCCCACGTGTGTGCCGAGCAGAAGCTGACCCTGGTGGGCCACCGCCAGCCCTGTGTGCAAGCCTTCAGTCGCATAGTGCCCGTGTGGAGAGCAGGCTGTGGGCAGCAGGCATGGTGTATTGGCCAAGAGCGCAGGTACGTGATGGGCATCCTGATCTAACTGATGGGGGAACAGTTCTCAGCTAGGACTGCAGCAGTGACCTCTAGGGTCAGACAGCTAGGGCTGGAGCCCCACCTTGGTTCCATCTCTTATCGAGGATGTGGTCTCTTATTCCCAGACTCTAGAAGGCCTGCTTGGACAGGCTCTGGCCTCTTATGAGGGTGGGGAGGAGCCCTGATGGTGGTGGGACCTTGCAGGGGAGGTGTGCTGATTGGCCAGAAGGTAGAAGCCCTGCTCAGCCAGCTGAGGTCCCAGCTGGAGATTTTTGCCACCTGACCTCTGGGCCCAGTTCCCAAGCCTGTGAAAAACTTATTGCTCAATGTTTTATTTAAAAATCAAATCTTAAGGAGTGCCTTTGCATAGCTCTCCTCTGCAGGACTGGGGGGAAGCTGGGCAGTGGGGGAGAGCCATGGAAACATTGGGTGGTAAGGGCGTGGCAGAGTTGGCTGCAGCCCTAGCTAGGTGGAGGTGTGTGTCTGAGGAGTCCTGATCTGGGCAGGGTGCTCAGCATGGGGAAGCCTTTAGTGTTGCCTGCTGCTGCTCTTGTGGAATCCGGGGTTCATGGGGTACCTGGGCCTGCTCTGTCTGGTCTAGGAGCTCCAGAGGCCACTCAGAATTCAGTGTTTGTTTGTCATCCATTAGGGCTGGTGTAGAATAGAGATGAAAAAAGTACAGCGAAGAAGCCTTGTTTCTCAGGGACTGTTGGCCTCCTCATCCGGGACAACCAGGGTGATGCCCGAGGTGGTGGGTGGTGGGTGCTGCAGGGTGAAGTGTTGACCTAGACGGGAAGCCTTGTTTCTCAGGGACTGTTGGTCTCCTCATCCGGGACAACCAGGGTGATGCCCGAGGTGGTGGGTGGTGGGTGCTGCAGGGTGAAGTGTTGACGTAGACGGGGCGTTGCATGTGGCTCAAGTCTGCGAAGCATAGCAGAGCCCCTCCCCATGGAGCGACAGGCGGCAGGTCAGGTGACTTAGGAACTCAGAGGCAGAAAGGGAGGTCTCCACCCGGTTTCAGAGGTTGACATTTGTGCTTTTTCCTTCCAGCCCTCACATGGCCATGGGTGCACACGGGTGCACACGGGTGCACATGCTTATGAAGCAGGGCTTGGTTCACTAAGCTTGTTTCCCTGTCCATACCATGTGAAAGACACTCTGTTTGGAAGCTGCCGGGGCCCTGAGGCTGGAGACTCTGTGGTAGTCAAGGTCTATAGGTTGTCAGGATTTCCTATGTGGCTTAAGGCCTCCAGTGTCCTGGCATGATGTCCTCAAGAGGCCTGATATGTGGGAGGGCCACACTTCCCTGGCTGTGCATGTGTGTTGGAGAGACAGGACGTTGGCGGGTAGGTGTGGGGGAACGGTGTCATAGTTGGCATAGTGTCGGAGTCAGGGTTTTCTGGGTATCTCAAGATGGCTCGTGTCTAGGTTCTGGGATCCCCCATCATACTGCCCAGCCCAAGGCATCTGGTACCCTTCACCTACTCTCTGACCTGTAACATAGAAATTCAATCCCGGGGTCGGAGTGGGGGTCCCATGTGGCGTTTTGGGTTCTAGGTGGGGACCAGAGCTCTGTGTTGGACATAGGCCTGTTTCCCTCATATCTGATGTATACCTGAGTTGTGTGCCTCGGTGTCTACAGAGGATGAGGGGGTCCCACCAGCTCATGGAGACCAGAACTCAGTAGTACCCATACCAGCCAGGCTCACCGCAGCTCGCAGTATACAATAAACACAGGCATGCTTGAGGTCTTGAAGTCTTTCTTGCTGTCTCTCCCAAGCCCTGGGAGATTCTCCCATCCTCATCAGGATGGTTGATCTTCCAGTAGCTGCCCTGCTGTGGTGGCCCCAGCTCATACCTCTTAAGAATCCAACCCCAGGACTACCTGCTCCCTTCTCCAGTGTGCCTGACCCTGTGTCATGTTGCTTTTTTTCCATTAACTGTGGCTGGGTCCTCATCTCTACCTGGAACCCTCAGGCCTGTCCTCCTTCCTGGCTCATGAGCAGAGCCCACACTGGATTGTAGTCTGAGGTTGGTCTTGGCGGCACAGGTGTTTAATATGGGAATGAGGTCGGAATGGGACCTCACCATTAAGTTGGACTGCTGGGATGTGGGATAGCACACAAAGGTCTCTGGGACTGGGCTCGGCTAATGAGCTCTGCTGTCAGCCTTGTTGACCTTCCAGCCGGCTAAGCCTGTAAGTCTGTCACGTGCAGAGGCCACCTGTGCAGTCAACAGTGAGCCTGAGTGGTGTCCTGAGGGCTTCACTTCACACTGTAACGTCGGGATCTGATTCGCGGTGTGGCCACGCTGATATGGAGGCTTCTCTGTTCTGTCTTCCTCCTTCTGATGTTATGTGTGTGTATGGTTCATGCATGTGAGTGTGCAAGATACGTCTGACCATGTGTGTGCACACGGAGGTCAGAGATGTCACCATGTATCCCGCTCTTCCTTACTTGAGGAGAGTTCTCTTACTGAGCTGGAAAGGCACCGTTTCGGCCAGGCTGGCTGACCAGCGAGCTTTCTCGTCTAGTGCTGGGGTTCCTTGTATATATGTAGCCATGCCCAGCTGTCTACGTGGTTGTTGGGGGTTCAAACTTATGTTTTCTTACTTCACTGAGCCATTTCCCTGACCCCGAGTGATTTTTTTGTTTGTTTTAGTTTTTGGGGGGTGGTGGTGGCGGGGATGAGCTCTCCTCTTGAGCTCCTGTGTGGCCAGCCAGGCAGAGCATCCCAGTTTGGGCTCTGGATCTTAGCCTTTATCTGTGTGTGTGGCTAGGCTGAGAACTTGCTCTGGCCTCGGTTTTCCCTTTTGGATTGGCCTGGGTGAGGCTACTGTGATTGCCTAGGCCGTGCCCCACATGTGGCTGTCACCTGGTGGCTCCTGCCACCATCTTTTGTCTTGAAGTCATGGGCATTTGTTGGTGGTGTGTCACCTCATCGATGACAGGTGAGGCTGTCGTGACACCTGAGAGGATCTCACTGTGAGAGTCTTTTTTGACAGAACAGACAGACAGCCATGTCACCAGGCTAGGAACTCTCCAGACTACATAAAGAGGTCCTTTGAGGGGCAAGGGAGGAATCCTTTAGAAAAATGAAGGAAGGGGTAAGGAATGGAAGGTGGCAGATATTCAAATCATGGGGTCACAGGCCCTCTTGGAAAGCCCAGCTTGAGTACTATGGCCTCCATTCTGACCTTGTCCCAGAAGCCTCCATTTTGACCTTGTCCCAGAAGCCTCCATTCTGACCTTGTCCCAGAAGCCTCCATTCCGACCTGGTCCCAGAAGCCTCCATTCTGACCTGGTCCTAGAAGCTTCCATTCTGACATGGTCCCAACAGCCTCCATTCTGACCTGGTCCCAACAGCCTCCATTCTGACCTGGTCCCAGAAGCCCCCAGCCCTACAGGACTAGAGCCCTTGTGAGTTGGTGTTTGTTATCTGAAGGTGAGCTGAGTTTAGTTCTCGTGGCTGCCTGGCCTCTCCAGGAATCTTTTCCTTCAGGGGGCCTTGTAGAAGAATGTCCAGGGGAGCTGCACACAGCCCAGCCCTGTCTGCAGCCCAGGCAAGGGGATAAATATTTACGATGGCCAGACTCTAGTGCTCTGTCGCTGCCAAATATTGTTCATGCTGTGGTCGGTTTCTGTCCAGGCAAGTGGTTTCATGTCCTGCCAAGGTGGTATTTTGTAAAGTGCTCCGAGACTTTCTATGTGCCGAGCCTGTGTAGGAACACACACTTCCGGGAAGTGGCCTCAGCCTTGTTTATTGGGCAGAGCCCAGGGCCACATGGCTTCCCGTGTACTGGACCCAGAAAACACAGCCTGGTTTGTTGTTGCCTAGAGATACAGCCTGGGCCACCTGACCATTCCCAGGGCCTTAAGTGCCCTTGACCTTGTGACTGTTGGCCTCGCTCCTGGGCGGGAGGGTAACCCTATGGCCTTAAGGGCTGCTGGCACTGCAGGCTGGAGACCAGTTGGGAGGCTGGAGTCAACCATCTCCTCTTTACCTGTCTTTCCTCCCTGGTCTCTCCTTGTCTATGTCTTGTTCCTGGTCTGCGGCTACAGAGACTTTACAGTCAAAGGGCTCAGGGACACTGACCAAGCCGTGCGTTTTTGTGTTCATTTCTTAGCGCCACTATGACAAATGCTGACAGGTCAGGTGACTGGAAAACGACTTTAGAGGAGTCTGGGGAGATGGCTCAGTTGGATAGAAACTTGAGTTCAGATCCCCAGAATCCATATAAAAACATGCTAGGCATAGCATCACACGCCTGTAATCCCCAGTGCTGAGGGGGCCGAGACAGGTGGATCCCGGGGCCTTGCTGGGCAGCCAGGCCAGACAGTTGGTGAGTTCCAGGTTCAGTGAAGAGCCTGCTTCAAGGAAATAAGGTAGAGAAAGTAAGATTGAGGCAGACACTCAATGTTGTCCTTGCCCCCAACATATATAAGACATATGCCTGTGTACCCACACACGAGACATAAAAATGCAAACAACAAACCAGTTTTTGAAGCTGGAATTCCTAGATAGTGGTGAGGTCCTGAGGGAGCAGCTGCCCCAGCCCCCAGCTCTGGTGCCACTGGCTGTCCTGTTGTGTCTGTCTTGGGGTGTCACCAGCTGTCCCATCTCTGCACGCTTTCCTTCCTGTATTCAGTACGGCACTATTCAGCGTGTCCCGTATTCACTGATGTCAGTACGGCACTATTCAGTGTGTCCCCGTATTAACTGATGTCACTACGGCACTATCCAGCGTGTCCCGTATTCACTGATGTCACTATGGCACTATCCAGCGTGTCCC